CTGAACACTTCACATTTTGGAAGGCAGTACTAGAGAGCAGGTGAGACGCGACGAGCAAGTCCTGTCCCCAGGGCTGCCCCACCTGGCCCCACACCAGAAATATCACCTCTCTTGCTCCTGGTCTGGGCCAGGGTCATTTTTACTGGGAGCACTGAGGCGCAGGCAAAGCAGCCCAATTAGTAACAGCAGCCTATAAAAAGGGCATCCAACAATAACACAGTTGCCAGGGACATGAAAGCTAGAGCAACTTCCGTACCCGCGTCTTCCCGGAGAAGAAAGCCCCCCTTCAGCCCCTGCCAAGCACGCAGATCTGCAGCAGCAGATGGGAAAGCCTAGCCAAGCAGAAGACATTACAGCACAGGGCCTTCACTTACTGAAGGTGAAAGTTAAAGACGAAAAAGGATTTAGACTGGTAAAGGGGAGCAAAGCTTCACCCAGAATCAGCCGACCTAAACTGGGAAAAGGCACCATCTTAGTAAGTTAGAGCACTGTGGTCTCTGACAAGCAGTATGGGTAACCAGAATGGTATGACAAGTTCTTGGCAGGAATTGTTTCTTCCTGTTTGATGCTTCATCCAAATAAAATGTTTATAAACACACAGAATCATTCCTGCCGTAACAGACCATGACCTGAAAGAGCTGAAGAGCCCCAGGCAAGGGACATAAGCTACACAGTCGCTGCCATTAAACACAGCTCCTCTGATCTGCAAACCCATTTTACATAATGGCCATTTTACACTCAGCTGCACCAAACAACTTCAAGGTTTTAATGCACATGCTCGTGTGCCCTTCCCCCAGCACACGTTTCTGGCACTGCACAAGCCATTGCCCCAAAATCTAAAACTCTGAATAGACAGTGGAACCCAGACCTGTCCAGGCACACATTTCTTTCTGCTCCCTCTCTTCACCCTGTTTTATCCTTCAAAGTCGCCTCTGCCCCTTGCAGCCTTCTCCCTTCTCACACCTCACCCTGAACATACATGAATTTCTTTGCTCCTCAAACAAATCAACTCCCCTGCTGTTTCTTGCCAATCCAGTAACACGTCTTCTCTTATTGTTAAGCCTCTACTCTGCTCCCCTCATTAGAGTAGTGTTGCTAGCTTCAAGCATTTAGGTCAAATCACACACTCACTTCCAATGCCCTACCGCCCTGTAGTCACAGTTAAAGTCTCCCTGAATATAATGATTAAAAAAATATTTTTTAAAAGAAAAAAAAAAATACAAAAATGCTCTGGCCTGCTCTTTTCACCATCAACTCATTTTTGCAAGTCAGCTGTGATGAACTGGATGGGCTATCCTAATTCTGGGGATAAACTTTTGAAAACAATAGCCTTTTGAAATGTTCCACAATCTGCCTTGTGAAAAAAAAAATCTAGAAAGTTGAATACCTACAGCTGAGTACACATTTCCAACCATCTGAGGTTTCTGCAACAGATGGGCTATGAGTACAAGCTACATTATAAGTATAAACTTCACAAAGTTTATATACTCAACTGCAGAAGGAGAAAAAATACAGAACCCGGAAGGGAGTTCTTTAAACTCACCATAAACTTTAGCAAGGTCTCACGCAGAACAAGTTTGCTCGGGTCCATTGGTGCAAGTGCATCAGCAAACTCTTGCAGAGTGTGAGAAATACACGAGCAAAACTACTTTCACGATGTTGCAGACACACATATCCTCCCAGCTAAAACTATACTCCTGACAAGGTTACTTTCTTCAGCCCATCACTACCACTCATTGCAAGACATTAACAATCACTTGCATTTGCATGTTATGAGACTCTAACCCACTTCAGTCAAGAGACCTGAGCCTGCAAACATCTGTTATTTAAACTGTTTATATTTATCCAACTCATGTAGAACGAAACAGATAGCAGACCAGGTGACAGATGTGAGAATAACTGGGGCAGCAGCCTCTTCAGCTGACTCAGCTGTTACCAGCAGCTATCCGTCCACTGTCTAAATTGCTCAGATAAAGTTCCTTTAAAACGACAAACATTCATCTTAGGGTTTTCAGCAGAAATGTCTCAAGAAACAATAAAAATTAGTATGCAGAAAAAAGCTTCTACAGGACACCTGGTTAGATGGAGTTCGCAGTGCCCTTACTGCTTCACAGACTCATTTCCCTTTACCTAAATGTGTCACATCATCACTTGCACGGTACAGAAGAACACACCACCTTGGGAACAAGTTGCTTATACTTTGCATCTTTTTCTCACAGACATGAAATGCTACACAGGACGTCACATAGCAAAAGAAAATCCAACAAATTCCACTGATATTATTAGCTGTTTTCTCCAGAACTCTGAAGCTCATACTGTCTGGGTTTTTTTCCTTTTTTTTTTCCTTTCTCTCCTTACAATGGGGAGAATTATATACAAAACAGTTCTATTAATGAAACCATAAATCTGAAAAAAAAACTTAAAACACCTAACAGGCAGTAAAGCTACACAGGCTTAATTATTCCAGGATATTCAAAGAAGTAAGTCACATACGCCAGTTCAAATCCTCTGCTATACACGAAATTTTATGCACCGTTTCATGTGTGTTAGTCCATTATCATTCAATCTATAAGGTAGCTGAGTCAATACAGGAATTGCTGTTGGACCAGGTGAGTTGCCAAGGTAACCTGGTCAGTCCACCTCCAGCAACACACAAGGACATAAGAACAACTGCACACAGACCAAAAGTCTACTCAGTCCAGCCAGTATCCTGTCTCTAAACATGAACAAAAAAACAAAGAGTATCCTTTCTCTTTGCTCACATGTGATACTTTTCCTTAGTACTATTAGCTAGCAAAGATTTTCAGTTCAGAAGCTCCCTGAGATGATTTCTACATATTAAGAGACTCTCAGCAGATACCTTCCTTCAACTGGTCCAAATTTCTCTTGAACCAGTATATACTTTCAGTATATAGCATCCCATGACAAGGAATTCCACACTTCAGCTTTCTGTTGCATGAACACAACTACCTTCTTCCACCTATTCTAGCTCCTGCTTGCCTCACTTGATGCCATTTACTACTGTAGAGAGTAAGAAATCAACCCCTTCCAGCTTCTCCTCAATATGTTCGTTCTTTCCCAGTCACATCTTTTGCATACTGACACATTCTAGCCTACTTAGTCTGTTTCTGCAGGAGACCTCTGTTGGTGAGAGCTGCAGAGACCACACTTTGGAACAATGAAAAAAGCTTTCCAAAAAGCATGTTAGAAAACGTGCATAAAGGCGCTCTAGGTAAGGGATGTTCTCAGACATGACAGCTTAGGACCAAAATAAGAAAGACAAAACAAATTAAAAAAATATGAGACAGAGAAAGGCTGAGAGTAGTGCATGTGTGTCATGTCAGACCAGTCTGTACTAGTCACCACTCTACGTCTGCTTCCCTTGCCTCAGAACTGCTAACAAGTGCAGAACATTTTTTATTACCTGCTGTTCCTCTGAATGTTTTCCAAATATATCATTAGCAATGCAACCATAGCCAGTTTCCCCTTCGTGGGATTTCTCAGAAATCTGAAGACAAGATTTGTCCTTTGCATTTCCCATCATGGTTACCATGTGTGCTTTGAGACAGTGTTTTGAATGGCACAAGTCAGAGGAAGCTGGGAGAACTGCCTTCATGCTCAAATGGCAAAATCTCCTGGCTCAAAGACATAAAGCGCTTTCCACTGGTATTTTCATTGTTAATTAAAATACACAAAATGGCTTTGAAAAGAAAAATCATTGCTCTCCCCACCCACGATGACATTACGTCTTACGAACACATACACTGTCTGATTCCTGTCGGTGGGAGAAGCACAGCCATGCACACTGCACCTCTGAGCAGAGGCCATGCTCAGGCAGAAAGCAGGAAGGCTGACAGAACAGAGGAGTCGTCAGGCTGCAAAGCTGGGTGGGGGCCAAGAGCTACTGCACAGCAACTCCTGAACCACAGCATCAAACAGGGCTGTGATCCCTGAGAAGCTCAGGACTCCCTAGGAAGCTAAACCTGTCACAGGCACAGTAACAACACAACGAACTCCAACATCAACAAAACCACTCCCAAAACTTCAAATTTCAGCACAGAATTCTTAACAGGGTATTAGGAAGGGGAGAGACTTCCCATTGTGAACACAGAGATCCACACTTCGCTTCCTTGAACATTCAACAGTCCAAAAGCAGCTGCACATCTATCTCTTCCACATGGCCCAGTCAGGAAGTTGTGGAATTTGGAAAGCTCCATTACAAACAACTTCAGAAGCATGCTAATCCCCACCTGATTCACCACACTGCCTGAAAGGCCCCTTTCTCTATCCCTCTCCCTGAACGACAGCACATTTCAAACATGGTGAGTTTGGGGCAAAGTTGCTGGCAAAATCACTCGATCAGTCTCTTAACGTGTGTGTGATTTACACAGCCAAGAGTCTGTAGCCAGAGACTTCCAGAGCAACTCATCTGACATTTGCAAAAAACCTCCAAGAATCTGGCTTTCAAAACCTAAATTTCAGCCTCTGAGAAGTCGCACACAGAGTGTACGTATTCCTCAATGTACAAGCAGACTTAAAATAAATTCTCACATAGTGATTATCAAAAAGGTCAGATTTTTGCCTGCTATGGCCTCTAGCTCCTGCTGTAGAAATTGAAAACAGTTACCTATCCAAACTCAGTGTCTCACCTCCTACTGCACTAGTCCAACTGCAGATACAGCACATCCTATCAGCTCACCTCTTGCAATAATGTTTCAAGACTAAATACAGCTGAGATTCAGCAAGGCACAGAGACTATGTACGCAACAACGCAACCCCCCAACGCTGCCACAATACGCCAGCGCATATTGTTGCACAAGGTGGACCTCTTCTGGTGAAGAGCTTGTGCTCTGAAACACCTGGTTCCTTAGTCTTGGCTAAGCAGAAGTCTACAGGGATGACAACATTATATAGCTTCTTTTAAAATCAACTAAAGCATATAGCGAGGTGAAGAGGAGCAGCAAGTCAGAGAGAATCAGAGCACACATGTGAGTCCTTACCTCGAAGAGTGTCAAACTTTCATTGTTCAAGATGATTCTGGGAGGTGCAATAACTGAAGTTAAAAAACAAGTTACAAAACAGGACCACCCAGCAACCAAAACAATAAATACAGCAGGTATGTGAGGGATTACTGCTCTTTAAAGGAGTGACACATTCACATTGCCCACACAGGCTTCTTATTAGGCAGAAGCACAATGTGGCTAAGTGAGCAGGCTACAGCTTCTTCACACTCTGAGGCTGTATTCAGGGAAGGAATGCCTCCCCAGGTCACACCGCATGGCATCACAAGATCCTATATGCACCACAGCTAGGAACAGGCTTTGTAAAGTCAGGCCAAATATTACCAACAGCACACTCACACAAGTAAAATGGCAAGTCTGCATCTGCAAGGTGGCTTCTTACAAAGTCCTTCAAAATGCCAACTGTGAAAAAAAGGAAAGAAAGGTTTGCTGAATTACATTAGTTTCTTCAGACGGTGGGCAAAAAGACTAACCTTTACCAGAAGAATTGCGCTCCACAGTGGCTGCAGATTGCCTTTTTCTCAAAAGAACACTTACGACTACAAATTGTAAAAAAAAAAAAAAAAAAAAAAAAAAAACAAAACCACCACATACACTTAGACATGCTGGTCTCTTAGCAAAATCTAAGGATGCCAGTGAAATTCTTCCTAGGAAATCCAACAGCAGCCGCAAGATTTGCAGAGACCACCCACATGAGACTCTAGTAACTAGTTATTAGTTCTTGTTCCATACAAAAGTATCAAAAAAATTGTATGGGTAACCTTCACTGCCAGCTGAGACCAAGATGATCTCAATTAACAACAGTAAGAGCTACTTGGTCTGACCACCTTTTGTGAACTGACAGAGGCAGAAAGGTTCATCCCTTGTTATTCTTATTACAGCTTCTTTTTCTTCTTCCTGTTTTTTTTGGTTTTGTTTTGGATGGGGGAGGTTTCCCCCAAAATTTTTAAGCTTTAACACAGAGAAGTGTCCAAATTCATCTCAGTAACATACCATTTGGACACAGACAATGTGACATCAAGTGGGACAGTTTTCTGAGCACAAGTATTTCACCATCAAGTAGTCCTGGAAATAAATTCCGCTTAACTAAGAAAATTACCCCAGACGCTTTTCTCATCCAGTTCAGGGACCCTGTAAGGACAGCGTAACTAGCTACTGCTGCTTTTTAAGAGCAGTATTACTTCCCTGGAGAGCAGAAAGATCTGTCCAGAGCCACTCTCTTTTGTCATGCAACTAATCAACGATGAGAGGTTAGCTGCAGCTACACACAGTGGAGACTGCTCTTACCAGTTTCACTAGGAAGGAAGAACCCCTGTAGAACATGACGGTCTGGGAAATGGACTCTCAACACCACCTAAGTTAGAGGCAAAGCACAACAGGTGATTTGTTTAAGGCTGTTCTGTAACTCCTGTCCTTGGCTTAGAATTTGTGAGCAAGCTGTTTTTTTTAAACGGGGAGATTCAAGATATTTACTCTACGGGGGTAGAATAGCATACTGGCTAACAGCTACTGTGCAGCTCCTCAGAGAACATGGGCTGCCTGGCTTTCAAAGGCTGTAAGAGAGCTCATCTATAGAAACAGTACGGTGTACAATGCAGCAGCACTTACTCAGAGAGTACGAGCTCCCTGTGCTAAGTGACGCACAAAGTAGAAAGTCACCCACAGACAGGTACAGACAGCCTATCAGTATCTTGAAGCATCCATAGCAGCAAGAATCCTCCTGCCATACATCTGAAGTAACTCGTACCATTCTATTTCCAGCATTGGTCAAAAAGCACTTAACTTGGGAACTTAGTCTCTTTTTTTTTTTTTTCTTCAATAAATCACCAGAGAGAAAAACTGCATTAGGATCGTATTTACCGAGTAAGCTATCTCCAATCTGTAACATCTTATCATTTAACTTCTAATGAGATATTATCAAAATGTAAGAGACTACAGAGGAGAGTTCAGTCATGCAGACTGACGTCTGCACAACACAAGGGTTTTGAAACATCTGGAACAAAATAAAGGGAGCTATATTGCCTGCCACTCAACCATAATGATTACAGGCCAGCTGATTTTTACATGGTACAACTGTTATGCAAGTCCCACTAACAATTAGCAGGGACAGGAATTTTAAAAGTCTTCCTAGGAGTAGCTCAAGATCCTGTTTATCACAATTGATTCCCAAAATTACTCAATCCCCTAGTCTGGACTAGCCAGAGGGACTGGAAGAAGAACAAAGGCTACCTTTGGATAACGCTCTAACTTCTCCTTCAGCTGAGCCTCCCTCAAAGATTTTGTCATCAGTGGAGCTTCTTCCAGGCGTTTCCTAGATGCATGGGAAGAAGATAAGCTGTCACTTTGTAATTTTAAAATTTATTTTTATTTTACCGAGAAAGAGAAAGGTCCATGCAGGGCTGATGAGAACTGCTCAACCATTCCATGTACCCTTCAGCATTTTCCCCACCTCCTGTGGTTCCTACCCCTAAAATCTCATATATGGAACTACTGAGCATCAGCAACAATACTGTATAAAATTCCTTTTCTTGGGAAAGTTTAAAAGTAAGTTCATTACAGCAGACGCCAGAAAAGACACTAAGGAGAGCAGAGGAATGTTTGCTTAGACTACTCAAGAAGAGGAAGAAGAGGTGGACTTATTAATCCAATAAAACAGAGACTAAAGTCAGACGAGACTACTCCAGGGAGGGAGAAGAGCTACTGAAGCTGAAAAACAATGCTGGCACAAGAAATTAATGGGTATTAATCAGCAAAAGGGAAACAAAACAAAAATCAGAAGTTTCAGATCATTCAAGAACTGGCAGTGTGGACGGGTGTTCTAAAAGGAGTAGTGGGTGTCAAAAAAATCTACCTGTATTTAAGATGAAACCACTAATTCAAGAAAAAACAATTATATATTTTCCTGTAAGTAAAGAAATAAGCTTAGATCCCACAGATCCCACGTTCAGCTTTAGTCCATTTTCCTTGTTTGCACTTAATTCTCCATAAACTATTTACTACGCTAGATTTTGATGAAACATTTGATATAATTCTGCACAACTATTTGCACATTAATCTCTTACACCTAGACACTTTGAAGAATCTCTTTTCATTTTAAGAATTATCAAGGTATCTCAGGAAGAGCTAACGAACAACACAACTACAGGCTTACTTCATCAACCGTGCTCAGAACGGTCAGCTGGTACACCACATTCCAAGATGCAAAAGTGCCAATTTATAATCTGAAAAGCAAACACGAAACTAACATGCTCCATTCCTTCTTTGTGTACCAACTGCTGATTCACACCAATTCCTCGCTCTTCATGAAGTCAGAATTAAATTATAATTGTATTTGAAATACTGCATTGTATGCAGCTAGTTTTTGTTAAGATCAGAAGCCAACTGCTATCAGTTTCATGTGTAACTTGCCTTTATTTTTATCCCTGCTGTGAGGGAAAAAGGGATTACAAGCATCAGCAAGTTTGGAAATTCGTTCTTTTTTTTCAGGGGGTTGTATTCCAGTAACCCTCAACCAAAGGATCCTACATTTGTACCACTAAATACTCCAGACCCACAAGCGACTGAGAAATTTTCAGGCCAATCTGTGTACTCATGTGGATTTCAGCAGCCTGTGGGGAAAAAAAGAATCAGCTCGAAGTAAAAAGTTCAACTCAGACTTGGTTACACTGTAAAGTAGGCTGTCCCACAGTCTCAAGAGAATGCTTGTAATGTTTAAAGGATGTTATGATCCACTTGAAGCTAAATACATCCATGAAATTAATTTCTTTAAGGAACGTATAGACAATAAAATGCTGTTGTGATAGGGAGCCTAGTTTACCTTAATCCTTTTTTTTAGTTTAGAACTGGAATAAGACTACAGTAAATTCATGAATATTTGACAGCAATCTATTTGAACAGTGAGATGCATAATCAGTCCAGCTTCCTATACTTCTTCCCCCTCTTTGTGTGTGTTCCAAACGTTTTCATGTCTTGATTCACGGGTAAGTTTGATTTTGCTTTATTTCCATTTTGGGTAATGTCTGAAAGTTGGTCTTTTCTGATGAGGTCTAATAAAAGGTCAATTCTGTTACTTCAAACACAAGGTGCTTCTTACTGGCTGAAAATGCTACTAGCTACTACTGAAGTCACTGAATTATTTCTATGAAGCTGGATCATTGTGTTCATATATTTATCCATCACAAGTTACAAATTCCATCCATTTAATTTCTAATATTTAACGTGAAGTCAGATCAAAACAGGTAGCGGAAGCTCATCACTGCTTTGGGCCTCTAGCAAGTAAGAGCACATCTAATTACAAAGGCAGTGGCTTCTCTTTCAGAAGAAGGGAGAAGGAAAGAAAGAAAGAGAGGTGCAGTGTTAAGTGGCTTTGAATAACTCCCCGAAACGCACAACATGGGAAGGAATCTTTCACTTAACCCTTCCTCAGCGAGGGCCCATCTCTGATTAGCTTGAGGTTCTCAGATAAACTTTCCACCTCATAGGCATCACAGACACTTCATGACGAAATTTTCAACACTCATGCACAAATGCTCAATCAATTCACACAACAACATGGGTTCTGTCACAGAAACAGGACATAGCCCTTAAACTCAAATTGCATAAAGAGCAGAGATTTCCAGTGCTGATGACTAATTCATTCATTCCACACCCAGTAACTTCTCTACAACCCTTTACCCAGTGATCACAGCCAGCTGTAAGTGCATAGTGTCACTCTGCTCAACAAAAAGATATGGAACAATCTCAGTCACCAGCAGAAAGGGACCTTGCCTCTCACTCTGCAGCTGTGCCAAACGTTTCCGTACATCATCCACTGTGACTTCAAAAAACTCATCAGGAAGGTCTTCTCGGCCAGCAGGAAGTGGTTCCAGTAGGTCTAGGTGACACACAAGTGGCTCTCGTTCTACAAGCTACAGAACAAAAATGAGCTTTGATTAGTCTTAAATGCATTGCTTTGCTTATGCTATAAGGTTCCTGAAAAAAGTACAAGGACAGTATTTGCAAACTGAAAGACAGTCAGTGTGGCATTCATGTCACTAAGATTATACTAATGATATAGAGCTTGTTAGTGTTCTCATTCTTTATAGTTGATAGACCTTGGGGCACAATTCCCCCCAGTAAGCAGGAGCAATCTATATTGTCGGGTGAGTCACACCCTAGCAGTTAACTGCTCTCCACTGTCAGCATAGGAAGCCCAGGGTAATAACCTCAGCAGTCATCTAACTTAAGGAGACATAACTCCTCTCCAAGGAGTGCCTGTGGAATCTCTTCACTTACAAAGATATTTTGCAGCTGAACCATACTTCTATCTAGTTACAAGCACTCAGAAATTGCTTCTGTCCCAAGACCACAACCTAACTCTCTGCTCTACTCCAAATCTCTCAGTATGTAATCACTTCCCACCTGAAGTGATTACACAAACCACTACTGGAGCGAAACACACAAGAGGCAGTTACACCTATTGGCTTCTGAACAATCCAAACTTTTTAAATCACAGAAATGTTTAAAGGCACAAAGCTTGGAAACAAACAGAATAGCGTACTGCAAGCCAAAGGAGATGCAGGGGAGGAAGCTGTCCATGACTGAAGAGCCCCACGAAAACAAAAACTTTGACAGTTAATACAGCATTTCTTTACAGCCAGTTGCCAGCCTAACCAAAAATGGAAATAAAGCAAAATCAAATTATGGTAATCACCATTCTACAGGCAGTACATAACTTACACAGGTGCTATTCTTCATACTACAGACTATAAACTGCCCTTTTAAGTTTGTCATCTGCCATGCACTCCTGACTCACACCATATCTTCTGTTCTCTCCGCTTCACATTCTCTTGCCACAGAATGAACAGCACTAGTTCCCATCCAGGGCTCACTCCACTTCTTACTCTAGAGAGCAATCCTTTGTTTTGGTAAAGTAGTTTTTGACCTGTTGAGTTCTCTGAACTGAGCCACTGCAGGGTTTCACTGTACACGTTTCAAATTTTTAACCTGGCTTCTGGTGTGCATAAAGCTCCAAGACAGTAAAAACTCTTTTGTTTTGCACTTACAAAGTACTTAGCACTGAAATCAGCCTTTGCTGCAGGCAAAGCAGACAAATGGAGGAAAGCAGTTCACCGTATGCATTAGCTGCAATAAAGGTACTTAATACATTTATCAGCAACTTTCCCTATACCCCAGCTGCTGCGGACAGGCCATTCAAGCAGCACACAGACCTCCAACAGCTGAGATACCCCTCTCACCTGCACAGCAGGGCACAGGCAGCCTGGCCCTTCTGCTCCCCCCAACTCCAGAGCCCAGAACTGGGAGACAGAGATCATGGTGGCAAACCTTTCAGCACAGTTGTGTCCTGGCCTATAACTGTGGCTGCAGCTATTAAAAAACAAACAAACAAAAAACAACACCAAAACCCACAACCCGCCAAAAGCCCAACCCAAACACCCCCATCCCAAGCTATCAAACAGCATTTGCTGTCTCTGAAGCAAGGACGACATTGTGTATCCCTCCCAATTTAGAAAACATTAGATACTGGCTACTTTCCCTTATGTCAAAAGCAGCAGCTGTGTCAGTATATGAATACAAACCACTACTGGAGCGAAACACACAAGAGGCAGTTACACCTATTGGCTTCTGAACAATCCAAACTTTTTAAATCACAGAAATGTTTAAAGGCACAAAGCTTGGAAACAAACAGAATAGCGTACTGCAAGCCAAAGGAGATGCAGGGGAGGAAGCTGTCCATGACTGAAGAGCCCCACGAAAACAAAAACTTTGACAGTTAATACAGCATTTCTTTACAGCCAGTTGCCAGCCTAACGCAGCTCTAGCCTCTATGAACAAACCTGACACCCATTTCTTCTCCCCTGATTTCCTCCTGTACTCTTTCCAATTCTAATTAACGCCCAAATGTCCTCCGTCCATCTGTCCCATCCACCTTCCCTTCCCCCAGGCACAGGCCCCTTGGGAACAGGAGTCTCCCTCAATTGTCAAAGCACAACACAAATTACAAGGCAATGTTCGCTCTGCTTGTGGGCACTAAAGGGTAATTTGAGAAATAAAAAGAGCGAGGTTGTGTGGGTGGGACCCTTGGCTACTTTTAGAAAGTTGAGCAGGGTCAGCTGTAACTAGAGGGTGAAGGAGCCTGATTGCAGCTTTCCTGGGGCTCAGGGGGAGGAATGCCCAGCGTCTGGGGAGTGATCCCGAGGGTGCAGAGCCACCCTCTGGGAAAGAGCCCATTGCACAGCAGTCCTAACTGCTGCCAGCAGCTGGCCTGGTAAGATCAGGTCAATGTCAGAGGCCAGAGAAGAATTAATCAGGCCTCCCCAGTAATCAGGTACATGTTGTGAAGGGTGCTGGGATATGATGGAGAGAATTCCTATGTCTGCATTTGCAAATCCTAAACTCACCATTTAGTATTGGCTCTAGCAAGCGCTTTAGCTAACCCTAAGAGTAGTCATATTTCACAGGAAAAGCATCAGTCACTGCCCAAACCGTGGTAGTAGCTAAAGACTTTAACCAAGACATCAGAAATCACGACATAGCAGAAGGCAGACATATATGCCAGTCCTAAGTGTTCCCCCCTCTTCCTCACTGTGCGTTCACTGCACGTTAGGACTGTCATTCACACGTTGCTTTCCAGAAATTTTTGTTCAAACAAGTGGGTCTCCATCGCCATCAAGGTACTGCAAATGGGCAGTCAGAACTTCCCCTCTAGAGCCACTTCCCATCCTACCACAACTGCTTACACAGTGATACAAAATCCACTACTTTCCAGACATAAACGCCCTATTCTTGACCTCCAACTTGCATCCAGCCAAGATGTCCCCATTTAATTCTCTGTAGCACACCTGTACGGGTCCTGCACAGACACACAGCTACCTTTTAGCTCCTAAGTCTGCAATTTTATCCATTTCCCCAGCCAACATTGAATGCGGAGTATCTTAACTTCCACACCAAGACACATTACTTAGCTACTACTTAACGCGAAGAAACATACTTTACCATACAGAAGCAGCAGCAGATCTGTGCACGCCTAACAAGATTGCAAAAATACACAATTAGTGCAAGAATTCCCTAATATTAAACATTCAGCTAGCCCCCAATAACACTGAGATGTCTGGAGAGAGTTGTAACAAGTGAGTTTTTGTGAAACCTAATTCAGGTGGTTTGATTCAGCATTTCTGCAACTCAATTCCAGAACTGCACAACAGGGTCTGATCAAAGAAGGGCAGCGCAAGGTGTCTACTAAGCACTGCTTAACAACCAAAAGACATCATCATTTTGCCACTCAGGATGCAAACACTACTACATCGTATCATCGTAATATCTCTTCTGCCATGTATTTAACATACCATGGAATCAACCATATATCTCACCTCCTTACAGACGTCAGAAACACTCTTCAGAGAGAAAGAAGTAACCATTCCTGTTGCACAACCAGTTCTCTCTTTCCTCGGAGTCCAGCCATCATCCTGCTCCCCCTTCCTCATCCGTTACCATTTGCTCACTTACGTATTCCAGTTAGGCATCTCTCAACCGGAGTACTCTCAATACAGCCTTATTTTAATGTGTCACCAACAATCCTAAAGCACAGACGGAATCCCAGAACCACCTTCCCACGGCAATTTACAAAAAGGAAGCTACCAGGTACACCGACTCTCTTCCCAGTCCACTACACATCTAGTGTTTCCTGCAACGGTGACAAAAGGTAACCACCTCCTCCAATAATAAATGGCCACCACCTGGCAGTTTCTGCCTTCCATTTCGTAATCCTGGAGGACAGCAAGCTGTGCATTTTGCTGTCATATTTCTGTCAGCGATACCTTTCAGGAGCCAGAGGTGCTGTGTTACGGTTTGTCACTTTCATTCTTCAAAGTCTCTACTGCTGCTGCCAAAGTTGAGATGTTAAGTGCTCTTCACCAGCAGGCTGAAGCCATGTACTCACAGCAGTGTCTATGAGGTAGTCTACTATAAAGCCAGGTGTCAGGAAGAATGCAGTTCACTCTATGGTAACCACCCCAGACCTAAGTAAGCAGGTAAGCAGAGAAAAACTTTTTCCATGCTAAGTGAAGTAGTGGCTATTGTGCTTTCCACAGCAGCAAGCTCTCCCTGGAGACCCACCTCCTTCCCACCACCTCAGGGAGCTCTAATCTCCTGGGGAATCTGGTGTAAAGTTACTTTCTAATAATTAATGTTCTGACATCAAAGTCAGCATGCAGCTGTCTGTAAACCATCTTTAGACCAAGAAACGAAGGGACGCCGGCACAGATTTTATCCAGCCTCTCTCTCCAGCTTCAAAAACCACACACAGGCAAAGCATTAATGGGAAGATTCTTTTACAAAAATGGACCTTTGATGTTTAAAAATAATTTGTTTTGTTTTGGTTTTTTTCCTCAGGACTGAAAAGGGACAAAAAGCAGATGCCATGTGGCTAGCCCTGCTCTGCTGTTGCTGCTGAGAGCAAGGAGAGCGGAGGATGGCAGGAATGGAGGAGGGAATAAAATGTAATCAATCAGCAGCAGAAGCACCAGAGATCAAAGGGCTTGAAAGCAGCAGTCAAAAATCACATGCTGTTTAACACAAGCGCAGAACCCCCCCAACAGAATCTGCAGCTGCTTCCAAGGCTGCTCTCAAACTGGAAGGGAGGCTGGCTCCAGAAGTGCCCTGGAGTGGTCTGAACTGCACTGCAATTCTGAGAAAGATACCGGATCACGAGAGGCCTTAGGCCACCGCTGTTCAGCTCTGTGCCCAACAGCGCAACTTCACATTAAGCTGTAGCCAGTAAAATGATAAAATGAGCTCTGCCTCTCCAGCCAGCACACAGAGAAGTGTGGACCACAGGACTGGTGAAGAATACCACCACAAACCCTCACAACTCTTCCTTCCTTCCTTCTCAGACACAACTGCAACTCCTTCTTTCCTAACCCCTCATAGATTGAAGTGTGACTGAAGCAAGCAACACATTAAACCACACAAATCACGCAGCCTACTGTTTAGTGCTCCACACTTAGGGTCTGTTCCAAAAGGTTAAATAACACTGATTAGATGGACCCAAACATGTTTCTAATACACTGAAATATTCATCACTGGGTTGGCAAGGCCTCTTTCTGCTACATCTGTAATTGCTCCAGAGTCCTTCCAGAGTCTGGCTTCTGATCCTAAACAATTCAGAAACTCATCAAGAATGGACTGCAACCACAAAGAAGTCAACCAAGGTAGAATCTCTTCATCAACATGAGACCATGTACATAGTCTTGCTAAATTCCTCCTGGACTGAGCTCCCTTAGAATCCCATCAGGCACCCTTTCCTTCTACTTAGGGCTTTCCATTGTTTAATCCAGTGCCTGGATCAGAACCAAAACTCCAACTCTAGGACGTACTAATGAAGGGGATCTCTCAACACTAAAGCCAGCCCTAACAGAGAATCCAGGAAGTGAAACTCCCAGCGGGCAATAATGTGGAGTAAGTTATGAATTTAATGCCTCCTGTACTTCATTTTACACTACTTGCCAGACATATCCAACCTTGCTGAAGGAATTCAATTCCATACAGCTGCCCTACGGAAAGCATACTTAACACCATTCAAAGGCCATGCTGTGATGGCATCACAGCACTCTTGAGCCATCAAGTTCTGGTATCTCTACACGGGCTAAAGCATTTTCTATTTTTACCAATACAGTTATACTTCAGGGACACCAACAATGATGAGAGATGTGCAGTTTGTCTCCCTGGGAAAAGGATTAGAGAGAGGTAGACTTTATTTAAGAAGCAGGATATTTTTGAGCAAGACAGAAGACACTTTTACATGCAAGCAGAAATAGAGAAGGAAAAGGATGGAAGGTTTCTGCTTCATCTACAATACTAAGAAAAGAGAGGGGATGGGATTAGACTGAAAGTAAGAGGTGCAGACCTCTCCCCTCCCCTCAATATTGAACTCCTAGCAAGTAAGATGCGACTGTAGCTGAAAAATTCCTTTCCTAGATCTATACCCCTTACATTCTACCACATGTGTCACCGAAAGAGTTAAACTGTAAGTCAGAGAGACCACAGGCAGAAGGAACTCTGAGGAAGCAGATGTTAACAACTACCAGCATGGGGTACTGCTTTTACAATAGCTTTACTATGGAGTTCCATGATCAACAGAAAGGCTCTGATGAGAAATCTGAGCACACCTTACAACTACCTAAGAGTTAGAAACTCTGACCAGCTTCTCAGATCTTGGAAGTCATGGGATCAAGTTGCAACAAACCTATTAAGACCGCTTCTGCTCCAGGACAATCCTACAAGCTAGAAAAGTTATCCCTTTCCATATATAAAACTCTACTAAGCTTATACCTTCTGTGTGATCTGGGAGATAAGTCAGTCACAACAAGCAGTAAGCACCTTCAGGGTATTACAACAACACTAGTCTGACCAAACTCTGCTCATCTTTAGCAAAACTACACAGCAGATACCAATTTTTAAAAGAAGGACAAGTACCGAGGGCTCAGGTGACAAAGTGGGCATTTGTTAATGAAATTTGCATGAAATTTGAGGCACGGACATTGAGGCTCTTCTGGACTGTGCTTTTATTGCAGTTGTGTTGCCTCCATTAGAACCATCTATCAAGGATACCTCAAGATTCAAAGCTTTGTTTGCCTCTGGACAGCAAATTCTTAAATTCCTATCCTTCATACTTCCTATAGTAAACTGTCCAAAATGCAATACTTCCTTACTGAACTCTTCGAAGATCTGTATGTTACCAAGGCACCTAATCCTATATTAAGGGGAAAGAGCCTTAAACATGGACATATCTTCTTCCTTGTAGAAGCTCAGCCTCAGGCAAGGCAGGATAAAAAAAGCCCTCATTGCAAACAAATTTTCCCTTACCTGTTCTTGCTCCTTTTGCAGTTCTTGGCTGTTCTTAGACTTCTTTGGCTTAGAAGGGCCTCCAGGGCTGGAAGAAGTTGTTGGCAGCTTTGAAGATGGCATATCTAACCCAAGAGGCGGTAGAGCTACAGAAGAGTCCCCCAGACACTGTTCATCTCCAATAAAAGGGACAAATGGGGTAGACTCAGGCTCTGAGGAAGGCCGCTGCTCCTCCAAGCGGACATGAGATTCTCTAATTGAGTCTTGCTTGTCTGTGCAGCTGTTTAAAGACGTGGCCACATCCCTGTGGTCCAAGTCCTCTGGGAATGTGTTTGCTTGAGGTAGGGGTACATCCACTGCTCCTTCAATAGAGCCTGGCCTCACTGTCGGCTCGTTACACTGCACCGTGGCACCCACAGCTTCCTCCCGACCAGATGAACTGCACTTCTTCATGACAACTCTTTAAATAAGACACCAAAAGGAATAAAACCAAAATCATTTATCCCAACAGTACTGCCCTCCCCATTCTCAATGTGACCATGACACAAACAAGACAGCTAGACTCAAATATATCCCTAATTTAATGATCTGCTTCTTCCAGACCCTCACAAAAGAACAAGCTCCAGTTGCCCTGAAGTTAGAGGTGGGGGGTCAGGGGTTTGTGCAAAAAAAAAAAAAACAGAACAGGAAGTACCCGCCCCACAGGAAGAAAACTGCCTTCCAGGAAAAAACAGCAGTCAGTTGTAAAGCACAGCTTCTGATCACTCCTGCCTTTTGTATATACTGCGAAGAACTGGCTAGAAGATCACAGAAAGGCTGTCATTGTACCCCGCCTCGCCCTCCCAAACAGTCAGCAGGAGGCACTGCAAGGACTGGGAGTTTCATGTCTGAAATCCAAAGCTGGGAAGAATTAAGTGGTAGATGATGGTCCTCTCAGAGGGACTTTTAACTTTGAATTGTCTGTTTCACTCATGGCAGCGGGGGGGAGAAGCAGCAAACAAGCCCCTTTAATCTGCACAGGACTGGTCAGTGCCAACATCTGCAGTTGTGGGAAGCACATCTGGGCAGCAGTTTCAGATAAACAGGCAAATGCAATAATTATCGAGTGCTGCGATGTTTGTCTTTTTGAACTTTTTTCATGCCTTTTTTCTGTTTTGGGTATTTGAAGAAAAAAAAAAAAAAAAAAAAAAAATTCACCACCAGAGTGGAAAGGAAAAATAAAGAATTCAAAAAACTTTGCTCCTCCCAACCTGATGATGGCACTGCCTCCAGTCAGGCCAAGTGACTTCAGTGTTGTCTTCTCTAGGGCATCTTTTCCTGGTATCTGCAACAAAAACAGAGAAGAGTAATCATGGCAACTACCTACCTGAGAAAGCATTTAAAGTATTCTGGAAAGAAGCCCGTATGAAAGCAAACACTAC